AAAACGACTGACTAACATTTAAGCTCAGAGTCGGGTAGACGTAGAAACTAGAAGGACATCACTGAGAAGCTTTTATTTCACTTACAGTAACGACTTGTTGCCAACTCGATTAATGTCCTTTTACTCCACCTGTGCCTCGATAGCTCTACATCAATGAGTGCAGGAGTGGGAATAAAGGACAAACTAGAGTGTAAATGAGCCACAGTCCTCATTTCCTCACAATGAATTGGTACTTCACACCAGCAAGCATCCAAAATGAAACATGTTAACATTTTTGGGTGTAATGTCTCTTTAAATGTGAATATTCTATGGGACTTAAAAAAAAGAAAAAAAAAAAATCACCATCAGTTCGACTCTTTTGTTCTTTACAGCTCAAAATCAGAGATAAAAAGACAATAACCACACAAAGCCAGACATCACAGACGTCTTTGTGCATGAGGGCAGCGCCGTGCAGCCGCTACCTCACCAGCGGTGTCTGTCACCGACTGCTCTATTCAGCAGCTCAGCGCCGAGGACAAAGCAGGATTCAACACAACAGAGACGCTCACACAATGCAGCTGTACCTGGTGCTGTGCGCCTCTCACACAAATGGCTGCTACTATTCATAGAAAGAAGAAACATGACAGCTTTGACACACACACACATACACTTTTGGAATCAGAGGTGAATAAAAGAAAATACTGCTTGTGTTATTTAAAAGGTGTGCGAGTGAAGCTGGTGTCCGCACAGAGATGCGAGGGAAATCTCTCTCTCCTTTACCTGTCAATGTGAATATAAAAGCATTTAGCTGCAAACCTTTCATGTAAACCGTTGCTATGGCAACAGCTCTTCATTTCATCACGGCAAACCTCGGGCGGGGGAGAGAGAGCTAGTGGGCCGAGTTGGTGGGAGGATTCCTCTGCAGAGGATGGTTAGTGTGTCGAGTGGAGGTTTAACCGCCTCTGATGCAACAAGGTGCACAGCCGAGGCAACTTCAGAGGATGTAGCCGAGTCAGGGAGTCGAACTCTGTGACCCAAATACTGAGACTGCAACGGGAGGCTAGTTTAAAGCACATGGAAGGTTAGCATGTGATCAGCAATGCAGAGGTGACACTCCAGCACAGTGATCACAGCAGCTGCAATATTCCTTAAGATTTGTTTGTCAGCACTCGCACTCAGCCCATCTAAAACAAGCCTGAGTTACCGTAGAAATGTGTCTAACTGGCAACATGGCTCTCAGGAAGTAACTTGCTACAAGCCAAGTGTGGCCGAAAAGATATGCTGTAATGAAATTCACAAGTATCGAGTTCTGGCTGCTACACCAAGACTTGAACAGAGTAGCTTTGCATGAGTCACAGTTCAAAATAATCCTCATTTTATCTGATTCTAGGCCTTCAGATCATCCTCTCTGAAACAAGACAAGAGGTTAGCTCTTCCTCACACAAGCAAAAAGCAGGTGGCTTCTGTGCCTGAGATGACCAATTCATGATGTTTCCTACTGATGTCATCATAAAGATGAGGAAAATGAAGAAAATCTAACAGAGGGAGGGGCTATTTGATCTTCTTGATTAATCCACAATTTGTTCTGTTAGATGCTCACAATAACCTAAAGTTCAAAGTGACATCTGCTTGCCGACTGTTTGTATTCCTGTATCAAAGCCACGCTGCCGAGCACCATGTTATTTTGCAGTTAAATTGTCATCCTGCAGCAACTACGTCACTATTTGTGGAGGACTTCCTGTTTCAGATTTGTGAGTTGGGCTGGTCTCTGAATTCAAGTCGTGAATGTGAATTTCCGTGCATGCAGATTTGTAATTTTTGCTAGTTTAGCGCAATTAATCACTGTATAGTGTCACGTAAAGGAATGTTATTTTTCTGTCACTATGTTATCATTCACATGCACAATCATTAATTCATCATTACTTCATTAGTCTGCATCACTTATCATTGTCATTATCCGGTTATCATCCTTATTATCATGTATCATTTACCACTCAGTATATTGGCCAGAGCAATGAGGTCAGGTTGTCATGCAGTTCCCAACCCTTATCAACCTCTTGTTGTTGTTTTATGGCCGTCTTGACACGCCAACGTTGCTTTGAAGACGGCAGCTGACTACGAGTGGTTTCAGACATGGTCCCCGTCTTCAAAATGACCATTTCAAAAGGCAACACAATCGCAAGTTCAATGCACACAGTAGCAACAACTTTGTCTCCAATGACCGGTTTCCTTTGTGTGACTGTAGCATCAGGATATGTCAAACTCTGAATGTGAAGTCGTAGCTTACTTGATTGTGCGTTATAGTCATATCAAACATGGCCACCTAGAGACTGGCACCATAAATTCAGCAGGAAAAGTGCTTAGCAAGAGATGAACTGACTGACATCCAGACAGCTGGACCCCCTTTTGCAACCATGTGTGGATCCTGGCTGGTCACTAGAAAGAAAACAGATTCAAGGCACTTTTCAATAGCACCAAACATGAGCACCAATTATTTGCCTTGGCAAACCTGAACTTTGACTTAATGATGGCATGATACCATTAGAGACTTGCTGAAACTGTATAAGGAGGCGGGGGATGCTTTTGCACAAAGGACAGGCATACATGCAGGCTTTAAATCTTGCCTCCTTTCTTTATTAATTGATTTAATCAAAAACATTACTGTCACAGTGAATTTTTGGATTGCGTTGGTGAATCTCCACTCTGCGCATCTAACAAGATTAAATTCAATGTTGCTCTTTCTGCAAGCTTTGCGGTTACAGTGTGAAGATTAGCCTTTCTACACCAACAGCCGGCCCTTGATGGAAGCAAAATTGCAGTGTAAGTGAAGTATTTCTTTGACTTTAACACTGCACATAATTACTTGATTCCTAAGTATGTGGAGGCTGAGCGGGATCGTATGGAGACGAGCGCGCCCACGCAGGTGAGTGGAGCTCCATCTCGCCTCATTAAAGGCTGCGGGCGTTAAGCTGCCTGTTCAGCTGAGGCCGTGGGAGCTGTCGCCTCCACTCACACTTCACAAGCAGCCCCATCTTACACACACACACACACACACACACACACACACACCAAACTACAAAGAGACCCATTGATTTGATGAGGACTCCGATAAGCACACGGACATCAGGACTGATGATCCTGATCTGCTTTTTCCA